AAAAAGGGGGGGGGGTGGGGGACACGCATCCCACAAACACACCGTGCAGCCACCTCATTCGCAGCGGCCTGGCCCTGGGCCCACCGTCCCCCCGGCCAGCCCACGCAGCCCCCAGCGCCAGAGAAGGACACCGCCCCACGAGCCCCACCACCAGCGACCCGGACACACCAGAGAGCCCCCGAGGGGCCCGAGGGCCAAAGGGGGCACACACCCACCCGCCCGTCATGGCATGCCCAGGGCAGACAAAAGGAGGGGGGACACCCCCCAGGACGGGGAGGCGGCACCCCGACCCCAGAGCCCTGCCCTGCCACTTCTGCCGGCTCCTCTCGGGGGGATCCCCTTCCTCTGGGTTTCCAGGAGGCATCCTGATCAGATGCCCGAGCCACCTCAACTGGCTCCTTTCTATGTAAAGGAGCAGCAGCTCTAGTCTGAGCCCCTCCCTGATGGCCGAGCATATCACCCTATCTCTAAGGGAGAGGCAAGCCATCCTGCGGAGGAAACTCATTTCGGCAGCTTGTGTTCGTGATCTCATTCTTTCGGTCAAGACCAAAGTTCGTCACCATAGATGAGAGTGGGAACGTAGATCGACTGATAAATCAAGAGCTCTCTTTTCATCACGACAGACCAGTACAGCGCCCACATTACTGCCGACGCCCCAGCGATCCACCTATCGATCTCATGCTCCCTATCCTCATTCGCGAACAAGACCTCAAGGTACTTGAACTCCTCCACTTGGGGATGGACATCCCCCCTGACGCAGAGAAGGCACTCTACCCTTTTCTGGTGAGAGACCATGGTCTTGCAGGCACTGACCCTCATCCCAGCCACTTTGCACTCGACTGCAAACCGTTACAGGGAGAGCTGTAAGTCCCGACTTGATGAAGCCAACAGGGCCACATCATCTGCAAAAAGCAGAGACGTGATCCTAAGGCCACCAAGACGGACATCCTCGAAACTTCAGCTGCGCCTAGAAATTCTGTCCATAAAAGTATGAACAGAACCGGAGACATAGGGAAACCTTGACGCAGTCCAACTCTCACCAGAAACGGATCCGACTTACTACCGGCAATGCAAACCAAGCTCTGACAAGGGTTGTACAGGGACCGAACAGCCCGTAACAAAGGGCCTCTATCCCATACTCCCGTAGCACCCCCCACAGGCAGTGTTGGGTAAGTTACTTTAAAAATGTAATCCGTTACAGTTACAAGTTACCTTGTTTAAAATGTAATTGTAGTGTAACTTTTTCAATTACTTTAAAAAAGTAATGTAACTAATTGCTTTTGATTATTTTTTGATTACTTTAAGGTTTTAATGAGTATTGAGCCATGATTAATTTTAGCATGTAGCTAGCAGTTCAAGGCTAACGTCTTGTTAATGATCATAAAAAAAGTAAATAAATCGGAGACAAGGGGCTCAGCGAAGGCAGGTCAGTCGTATCCGGATACAACATTTTAGTATCTATACTTTTTTAAGCATCGATACTTTTGACAACCCCAGTCTAAATGTAGGACATGTCCGGGAAAAAGAGGACGTCTGGTCACCTACAGTTGGGTAGGCTAGGCTAGGCTAGGTCATAGACATCGATAAACGTTTGTCATGCACAAAACAGTCAAATATTAGTAAATCAATACGCTTCGTCTATCAGTGAGTTGCATATTTTGCAAAGGTTTTTCTTTATATTTTTAAAAGAATGTAACTAAATTCTTAATATTTTCGAAAGTAACTGTAACTGAATTACATATTTTCTCATTGTAACTGTAAAGAATTACAGTTACTCTTTTTTTGTAATTAAATTACGTAACGTCGTTACATGTAATCCGTTACTCCCCAACACTGCCCACAGGATACCCTGAGGGACATGCTAGAACGCCTTTTCCAAGTCCACAAAACACATGTGGACTGGTTGAGCGAAATCCCATGCACCCTCCAGGACCCCACTGAGGGTATAGAGCTGGTCCAGCATTCCACGGCCAGGACGAAAACTGCACTGTTCCTCCTGAATTAGAGGGTCGACTATCTGATGGACCCTCCTCTACAGAACCGCCGAATAGACCTTCACCGGGAAGTTTAAGAGTGTAATCCCCCCGTAGTAGGAACACACCCTTCAGTCCCCCTTTTTAAATAGGGGGACCACCACCCCAGTCTGCCAATCAAGCGGAACTGCCCCTGATGTCCACGCAATTTCATCCACCCCGGAGCCGTGCTATCGTGGAGCTTTTTGACTGTGTGACTTCAGCCCCAGAGGTTGGAGAACCCGACTCCAGATCCCCAGGCTCGGCCCCTCCGATGGAAGATGCACCAGTGGGATTGAGGAGTACTCTGTCCACTAACCCACAACATCACAAGTTGAGGTGAACAGCACACCACCCCCACTGTAAACACTATTGGTGAAGCACTGCTTCTCCCCCCCCGAGATGCCGGACAAGAATCACTTCTAAGCCATACGGAATTCATTTTACATGGCCTCTCCGAAATCCTCCCACGCATGAGTCGTTGACTCTGCAACCACCCAAGCCGCTTGGACTGCCGATACTCATCAAATGCCTCAGGAGTCCCACAGGCCAAAAAGGCCGATAAGACTCTTTCTTCAGCCAGACGGCATCCCTATCCGCTGGTGTCCAGCAGACTCTCACAATGCGTTTGGGCCTGCCTGGTCTCACTGGCATCCTCCCCCACCATCGGAGCTAACTCACAAACAGGTAGTGGTCAGTGGAAAGCTCTGGCCCCCTCTTCACCTGAGCATCCAAGACATGCGGCCGCAGATCAGCTGAAACGACAAAGTCAATCATTGAGCTGTGGCCTAGGGTGTCCTGGTGCCAAGAGAACATATGAACACCCTTATGAACATGGTGTTTGTTATGGACAATCCGTGCTGAGTACAGAAGTCCAACCACAAAACACTTCTGGCACCCCTTCCAAGGACTCCAAAAAGGGTGGGAACTGCACTGCTGGATAAGCACCAACAACAGTCAGCACACGTCCCCCCACCTGAAGGCGAAGGGAAGCTGCCATCTTGTTCACCGGGGTGAACCCCAACGTACAGGCACCAAGATGGGGGGCAACAAGTATGCCCATTCCTGCTCGCCGCAACTCCAGAGTAGAAGAGTGTCCAATCCCTCTCAAGAAGGCTGGTTCCAGAGCCAGAGCTGTGCGTCGAGGCAAGGCCGACTATGTCCAGCCGGAATCTCTCCACCTTGCACATGAACTCAGGCTCCTTCCACGCCAGAGAAGTGACATTCCACGTCCCTAGAGTTAACTTCTGCAGCCAGGGATCAATTCACCACCCCTCCGAAACTGCACCCAACCCCCTTTTTTAGAATCTCATTTCAATTTTCTATTTGTGTTTTTGTAAACTGAAAAAAAATCTATGGAGAAGAAAAATCCTGTTCACAAAGGGGTAGTGTCTAAAGTACTTACAGTTTTAATTAATGCAATGTAACCATGATAATATGAGGAATAATCCAAATTTAGACAAAGCAGCGGTTCGTTTTAAAGCCTTCTTTGTGAGTTTGAATGAAAACCAATACAGGGACCAGTATATCAATAACATGGAGGCGTGCATTAAAAGGCAAACATTTTAGAACATGTTAAAAAAAAACAATACAATCAGAATCAGAATCAGAATCAGAATCAGAATTGGGTTTTATTGCCAAGTAGGTTTACACATACAAGGAATTTGCTTTGGTGAAAGCACCGAGGCAGCCATTTTCGGCGCCAAGACATCTTCAGAACCAAAATGAATACGTTGGGAAAGCAGTTGCGGGGAGAGGGGAAAAAAAAGGCCCAATGCCACGCCCCCTCCAGGGGACGTAACAGTGATTTAAAAAAACACCTCTTACACTGAAGCACAGATACAGTCAATCACAACATCAAGGACACATAGGGAGGGGGGGTTGGGGGGTTGGAAAGAAGGGGAAAGGTAACAGCGAGGCAGGGAGTCCAAGGAATGCATGAAGTCTGTACTTGTGTGTGTGTAAGTGTAAGCAAGCTGGAGTCCACATCCACAGGCAGGATGGTATTTGTCCTTGTGATGCCCAAACTCCTGCTTGGGAAGAGGGAGGGGGTGGGGGGGGCAAAGCGTCGGTCTGCAGTTTCATCCAGGGCAAAGTTGTAGAGTAGCAGCTGCAAGGCCGCTCTGGGGAGGCCAGATTGAGATAAGAGAGATAGCTTTGTTCCAGACAGAGCGTGTTTTGTCTGCCTTAAGTCCTCAGCAGGTCTCAATGGCGATCCAATTCAGCCGAATTGTGTTAATTTCCATCCATCTGAACCACCACCTTCTCCAAGTTGTTCCCCATCACCCTCATGCTGTCACACATCGTCCCCATTTTGCTTACCAGCGCATCATGTTTGCGAGACAACTCGCACAAGGTTTGAGTCTGAGCGTTGATGGCCCGGAAAACCGGCTCGACAGGCAACCCGCCACCAGTTGCCCTCAGCTTCCGAATTTCTCG